TCAGATTCATCCCTGGGTTGCACGGCTGGTTCAACATATGCAAATCAACAAATGTAATTCATCACATAAAGAGAACCAAAGACAAAAACCACATGATTACCTCAACAGATGGAGAGAAGGCCTTTGACAAAATTCAACAGCCCTTTTGCTAAAAACTCTCAATAAACTAGGTATTGATGGAACGTATCTCAAAATAATAAGAACTATTTATTACAAACTCACAGCCAATATCATACTGAATGGGAAAACCTGGAAGCATTCCCTTTGAAAACCAGCACAAGACAAGGATGCCCTCTCTCACCACTCCTATTCAACATATGATTGGAAGTTCTCACCAGGGAAATCAGGCAAGGAAAAGAAATAAAATGTATTCAATCAGGAAAAGAGGAAGTCAGATTGTCTCTATTTGCAGATGACATGACTATATATTTAGAAGACCCCATCATCTCAGTCCAAAACCTCCTTAAGCTAATAAGCAACTTCAGCAAAGTCTCAGGATACAAAATCAATGTGCAAAAATCACAAGCATTCATATACACCAATAACAGACAAACGGAGCCAAATCATGAGTGAACTCCCGTTCACAATTGCTGCAAAGAGAATAAAATACCTGAGAATACAACTAACCAGGGATGTGAAGAATCTCCTCAAGGAAATAAGAGAGTACACAAACAGATGAAAAAACATTCCATGCTCACAGATAGGAAGAATCAATATTGTGAAAATGGCCATAATGCCCAAAGTACTTTATAGATTCAATGCTATCCCCATCAAGCTACCACTGATTTTCTTCACAGAAGTGGGAAAAACCACCATAAGTTTCATATGGAACCAAAAAGAGCCCACATAGCCAAGACAATTCTAAAAAAAAAAAAAAAAAAAAAAAGCTGGAGGCATCATGCTATTTGACTACAAACTATAATACAAGCTACAGTAATCAAAACAGCACGGTACTGGTATCAAAACAGAGATATAGAACAATGGAACAGAACAGAGGCCTCAGAAGGCCCACCACACATCTACAACCAGCTGATCTTTGACAAACCTGACAAAAACAAGAAATGGGGGAAGGAGTCCCTATTTAATAAATGGAGTTGGGAAAACCAGCTGCCATATTCAGAAAGCTGAAACTGGATCCCTTTCTTATACCTTATACAAAAATTAACTCTAGATGGATTAAAGATTTAAACATGAGACCTAACACCACAAATACTTTAGATGAATACCTAGGCAGTAACATTCAGGACATAGGCATGGGCAAGGACTTCATGACTAAAACACCAAAAGCAATGGCAAAAAAAGCCAAAATAGGCAAATGGGATATAATTAAACTGAAGAGCTTCTGCACAGCAAAAGAAACTATCATCAAGGTGTAGAGGTAACCTGCAGAATGGGAGAAAATCTTTGCAATCTACCCATCTAATAAAGGGCTAATATCCAGAATCTATAAAAACTTGAAGTTACACACAAAAAAAAAACATCAAAAAGTGGGTGAAGGATATGAACAGACACTTCTCAAAATAAGACATTTATGCAGTCAACAAACATATGAAAAAATGCTCATCATCACTGGTCATTAGAAAAATGCAAATCAAAACCACATTTAGATACCATCTCACACCAGTTAGAATAGTGATCATTTAAAAATCAGGAGACAACAGATGCTGGAGAGGATGTGGAGAAATTGGGAACACTTTTACACTGTTGGTGGGAGTGTAAATTAGTTCAACCACTGTGGAAGATAGTGGGGTGATTTCTTAAGGATCTAAAACTAGAAATACCATTTGACCCAGCAATCCCATTACTGGGTATATACCCAAAGGATTATAAATTATTCTATTATAAAGACACATGCACACATATGTTTATTGTGGCACTGTTCACAACAGCAAAGACTCATAACCAATGCAAATGCCCATCAATGATAAACTGAGTAGAGAAAATGTGGCACATATACACCATGGAATACTATGTAGCCATAAAAATGGTTGAGTTCATGTCCTTTGCAGGGACATGGATGAAACTGGAAACCATCATTCTCAGCAAACTGATACAAGAACAGAAAACCAAACACCACATATTCTCACTTATAAGTGGGGGCTGAACAATGAGAACACATGGACATGGGGAGGGGGATATCACACACTGGTCCCTGGGGTTGGGGGCTAGGGGAAGGATAGCAGGGTTTGGAGGGATAGGGGAGAGATAGCATTAGGAGAAATACCTAATGGAGATGATGGGGTGATGGATGCAGCCAATCGCCATGGTACCTGTATACCTATGTAACAAACCTGTACATTCCACACAAGTACCCCAGAACTTAAAGTATAATTTTAAAAGTAAAAAATAAAATAAAAAGAAATACAGATATGAGACTGGGGAAGCCAATGTGGCCAAGTTCAAATGGCAATGTATTAGAGAGGAGAAATCTCCACTGAAAAACAAATTCAGAGAACTACAGAGACTTCATCTCAAATCCTCAACTGAGTACCTATCAAAGGATTGGTAAGAAACTACCCAATTCTAAGAAAAGCAGCACCCAAAATCAACAGAGGAGAAAATTCTCAGAATTTACACATAGCTAGACATGGTTTACATTGCCACCATCCAGAGTAGGAAATGTTACAATTCATGTGGACATTGCCATAGGAGTTGAGGAAAGCCATTCCTGGATTAAGCCTTCTCTAATGTCACCTAAAAAAGCTTAAAATCATGCCTCAGAAAGATTAAATGATTTTCAAGTAATGTAACTGAATAAATATAAATATATGATTATATTTACAAATATAAATGCTAGATGTTTTATAATTCAGCATTCTATCAAAGTAAAATGCAAAATGGCGGTCACCCAATCAAAAATTGGAAGACATGCAAAGAAGCTGAAAAATAAAACCTCTAATAAGGAAAAAAATGAATCAGAAAAAAATAGATATATGAATAATATGAATGATACAATTAGTAGACAATTACATTAAAACAATTATTATACCTATGTTCCATTTCTTGAAATATATAGAGGAAAGACTGCAAATGACAAGTAGAGACAAGGAGGACATTTAAAAAATCTAGATTGAACTTCTAGAGATAAATCTACAGTATGTGGGATGAACAGTGCACTGAATGGGATTAAAAGCATATTAGCGTCTACAGGGAAAAAAAGTTGAAAACATAGCAATAGAAACTAACTAAAGGTAACACTGAGAAAGAAAACATAACAAAAAAAACCACATCAAACACCTCCAACCATCTGATTTTCATGTAATTCAAGCCCTTAAAAAATGTAAAATAGGGTTACAGAAAAAAATATTTGAAGAAATAAGGGCAGGTTTTTCCTTTATGTGATAAAAAACTATCCACAGATCGAAGAAGCCCAATAAACCATAGGCATGAAAAACAAACAAAAACCCACACCAAGGAGCATTATACTGAAAAACAAAATGACTGACAACAGATGTCGTGTTAGAAATAATATCAAACAGAACAGTAGCAGAATATCTTTTAATAGCTGAAAGAAAAATATGTCAAGAGAGAATTCTATACCCAGTGAAAATATCTGTCAAACTGAAGGCAAAACAGACTTTTTTTCAGACACAAATAAGCTGAAATAATTTATCACAAGCAGATCTACACTATAGGAGAGGTTAGTAATAGCCCTTCAGTTAGAAAGAAAGTGAGCCTGTGAAATTAAAATAATTATCTACTTCTACAATACAATGGTGGGAAAGGCATAGGATATATATTTCCATCCCAAAAGGGAAAAAGAGGCAGGAAAATATAGGTAACTTGTGCCAAATAAAACCAAAACCCACCAAGAAAAAGTTAATCACCAAATATCAAAAATAATCTTTCACTTCATGTCCCACCTCCTTGAGGTAGGGGCAATGCCTGTATTCAAACTTGAGTGTGATCGATGCCAAATCCTGCCTGATGTACTTCCTGGGTACCAAAATTACCACATGGGGCAGGAAGGGCATTGCACTCAAAGGTGCAGTGAGGAGGGGAGAAATTGGGCCCACAAAGTCTCAGGCAGCTCTGCCTCTATGGTTTTGCTAGACTCTGCCCACACAACAGCTCACAGACTTGAATTTCACACCTGCAGATCTACCAGGCTAGTATCCCACTCCAGTAGCTGTATAATTCTGGGATCTTGATGGTGGCCCCATTCTCACAGCTCTGCTAAGCACTGCATTAGTGTGAGTTCTTGAAAGTCTTCTGACCCTACAGCAGGTTTCTGACTGGCTGCTGGCCTGTCTGGAACATTGTTTGAAATGGTTGGAGGCCACAATGACCCCACAAGCTACACACTCTACACTACAGAGTCAAGACCGTGTGGATCCCCCCAAGAATGATCACTTGCACTCCCCAGAGGGCAGCACAAGCTGCATCTGAGCCTACTTTAGCCACAGCTGGGGCAACCAAGGAGTGCTGCACTGGAATACAAAGAGCAGAATTCCAAGGTAGGGTAGCCCTGGGCAGCAAATACTGAAGCCCTTGAGGTACCTATCTGGAAACTTTGCCCTCAAGGTCCTAATTCTGCCTTCCACAAATGTTCTAAGGCATTAACCTAATTCCGCTAAGTTATTTACAGCTGCATAACAAGAGTATCCTTTATTTAAGTTCTGACTATCTTGTTCTTCATTTCCACCTGAGACCTCATCAGAAAAGCCTTTATTGTCCATATTTTTACCAACATTCTGATCATAGCCATTTAAGTACTTCTTCAGAAGACTTAGGCTATTTCTACAGCTTTTTTTTTTTTTAGATCTTATCAGAATTGCCATAAAGGACCATTTGTAGCAATCTAGGCTTTTTCTAGTCTGATCATCCAAATTATTCCAGCCTCTACCCATTACTCAGTTCCAAAGCTGTTCCACATTTTTAGAAATTGATTCTAGAACACCCCACTTCTGGTACCTGTTTCTGTCTTCATTTGTTTAGCATTGTTATAACAGAATATCACAGACTGAGTAATTTATGAACAATAGAAATTTATTTCTTACCGTTCTGGAGACTGGGAAATCCAACGTTGAGGTATCAGGGTCTGGTAAGGGCCTTCTTACTGCATTATCCCCTGGCAGGGCAAGAGAGGTAAAGAGCAAGGGAGCAAAATGTCAAACTTATGATCCTAAAACCTTTTATAATTGGCCTCATTCCTTTCATGAGAGTAGAGGCTTGATGACATAAATACCTCCCATAAGTCACCATCTCTCAACCCTGTTGCACTGGGGACTAAGTTTTCAATACATGCTTTGTAGGGAACACATTCAAACCATAGAAGTTGTTATAAAGAAGACAAGATATAAGTGTTGGGGCAAGGATGTGTGTAAAAGGGAACCTGTTATGGTTTGAATTTTTTTTTTCTCCAAAATTCATGTTGAAACATAATGCCAGTGTGGCAATATTAAGAGAAAGGGTCTTTAACAGATGATTTGGGCATAGATGTCATGAATGAATTAATTTTTTCATGGGTTAATGGGTTAATGGATTAATAGGTCATCATGGGAGTGGGACTGGTGGCTTTGTAGGAAGACGATGGACTTGAGCTGGCACATTCTTGCCCCCCTCACCCTGTGATGCCTTCTGCCCTGTTACTACACAGCATGAAGCCCTCCCTAGAAGCCTACTTGATGCTGCTGCCCAATTTTGAACTTCTCAAGTCTCCAGAACCATGAGCCAAAAAAAAAAAAAAAAACCCTCTTTTCAAAATAAATTACCTAGTTTCAGGAAAAAAAACAGATTAAGACAGAATTCTTATACACCATTGGTGGGAATGTAAATTGGTACATATATTATGAAAAACATTATGGAGCTTCCTCAAGAAATGAAAAATAGAATTACCATATGATCCAGCAATCCCACTTTTGAGTACTAAAAGACTTGAAATCAGTTTGTTGAAGAGATGTTTGCACTCCCATGTTCATTATAGCACTATTCACAATAGCCAAGGCAGCAAAACCATCAGGAGATGCAGAAGTTCACTGTCTTTTTATTCCATAACTTTTCCATTTCTACTTCTACCTCTTAATTGCTACTGTACAAATATTTGCTATATAAGCTAGCAGGTCATGTGACTTTGCCTGTATAATTCATCAAATACCTACTGATGCTCCTCCACAAGATAGTCACTTTATTTGCTTTTCTTTCACTTTAACTCTTTTTAATTCCAAATGAGAAATAAATATTTTCTGGACTTCCTGGAAGACCTTCTGTCATAAATTGAGTGCTTAATCATTTGTGGTTATTCTTGCCTCACATAGTAAATGTCCTCAGTTAAAAATTGAAGTTAAAATCTGTTACGTGGGACAAAATTTAGTCTTATTTCAATTTGTCAGTATGTAACCAGTGCTTTTACCTTTAACTCTTTGACGCACCATGTGTCATATTTGGGCCTAACAGTTGTTAGCACTATTGGCAGAAAAGAGAAAGTGTAGCAACTAGATGAATGAAAATTACTTCACAGACTTTCTTTTCTCTGACCTCACACCGTAGTGAGCTTCAAGCTTCAATTGATGAAGCAAATAGAATTGACACCACCCATTCTTTTATTCAGTAAGTTTTAAAATTCCCTGTGTTTAATAAATAAACTATTAAGACATTTCCACCACAAGTTGTTTTTACCCTATAATTTGCCTGGATTTAAAATCAGGCAATCACACTCTGTCAACTAGAATTATAGCTCTTTTGAATATAGCATTCATCACTGTGTGCCTACAAATTCTGTATGTCACTGTACAGCATTAAGCCCACACAGCTCTCAAGTTCTACATCTAGGAGGTAGTCACACAACCACTGAAGAGTATACAGGTGTGAGATCTTAAACTTGTGAAGCATATAAGTAGCTATTTGGAAACATGCATATCCTAGAAGCAACTCTGATATTAAGGAAGAATAAAATGAGAACAAGAGTTAATAAATGAAAAGTCAAAGATAGAAAGAAGCTTAAGAAGATCTAGGAAGAGTTTATGAATAGGAACACGAGTGAAAAAGGAGCCACCCGAGCAACTCTCTCATAGGTCCTAGGAGAAACCACAAAAATGCTGATGTCAGTACATAAAGCAGAAAAGGTCTCAAGAAAAAACAACATTACTAATGGACTTTCAAAAGGAGCTAAAAATACTGGAGGTTACTGACTTCTGGTAAATGAAAGTGGCATGCAAATTAAATGTCCTTCCCCCATTCCAGGAGGGACAATGAATGAAGTGTATTTTTTTCTGAAAAAGATGAGAGGAGAATCATCCATTAGAATTGTACCTATCTGTAGAATAGTAAATGAATAAATGTTTCTTTGAAGAAAAAAGGAATGTTTGATGACATCAAGGTTAATCTTACAAATCCAAAATGGAAAGTCTTCAGGAAAGTTTAGGAAGTGTAATGACATTTCCATTTACTCCTTGGTTTTAACTCAAGGTCAGAGGAAAACTTTTAAAAATATTCCAAAATATGCCATCATAAATACTCATAGTTCATGACCTTTAATATTTGTCACCATCAACTGTGACAAGCCATGCTCTCTCTGCTGTAGGGAAATAAGGTCCTTTCACAAAATTAATATGCAACATTATTTTAGAATAGTTGATATTCTTGCTCTTGGCAATTAAAGGGGGGAAAGCATTTACTTTATAAATAAGTGGTTAAAAGAAGTACAAGTTTTATTATCATTATTGAATTTATAAATTTTCCTAGTCACCAAGAAATTAAGTCTTCTGGAACCTGTCTCTCACGTATGGTGAGGATCTTCTCTTGAATACTGTCTATAATTATGCCCTTATCCAAACCTCAATAGTTTAGCTTTCCTTCTCCATATCTACATAACACCCTGTATAGGCAACAGTAAGTGCTTCTACTGATTCCTCATCACCAAGAAAAACAACACTGAGAACAGGTTTGAAATAAATTCCATCATAATTGTCTCTCTGCTTTCAACCTTGCCTATGTGCCCCACACACATACTTCCAAACTCATCCACATTCCAAAAATGCAAATCTCTTTATGTCAATCCCCTGTTAAAACCTTCAGAGCCTCGTAATACCTTCAAGATAAATTCACACTTTTCACCACGGCACAGGAGCATTCACAGTCCACACCTTTTCAGCTTCATTTGTTGACTCCTCCCAAAGTCGTGCATGTCTTTTTACTTATTGAAATCTTTCTGTTCCCTGCACACAGCATGATGTCACATGCCCTTACAGTCTTCTTGTGTGATCCCCTCTATCCGTAGCACCAAGCCTGATCCTACCTCTAACACCTGAGTTGAGAGTTTATATTTACAAAGCTGTGTATTTCTTTTCTGTACTTTCATAGCTCTTCTATATAACTCTCTTATAGCACTCATACTAGGCTGGCATTTAAAAATTTTTTTTAATCTCTCTTTCCTTACTAGACCCCCTTGAAACAAGACCTGTATTAGTTGATCTTCATGCCAATAGCACCTAACAGTTTAGCTCATCCATGGATGTTCAATAAATGCAGGTTAAATTAAAAGAAAAAAGAGATGGATGGATGGAAGGGAGGGAGGGATGGAAGGACGGAGGGACGGAGGGTGGGTGGGTTATAAATTGAATGCTTGTCTGTCTCCCAAAATATGAATGCTGAAACCCTAACCCACAATATGATGGTATTTGGAAATAGAACCTTAGAAGGTATGAGGGTTAGATAAGGTCATTAGGTTGAGGCCTTCATGATGGAATTAGTACTCTTTTTTTTTTTTTTTTTTTTTTTTTTAATTTTTTATTGGATTATAGGTTTTGGGGTACATGAGCAGAGCATGCAAGACAGTTGCGTAGGTACACACATGGCAGTGTGCTTTGCTTTTCTTCTCCCCTTCACCCACATTTGGCATTTCTCCCCAGGCTATCCCTCCCCACCTCCCCCTCCCACTGGCCCTCCCCTTTTCCCCTCAATAGTCCCCAGTGTTTAGTACTCCCCTTTCTGTGTCCATGTGTTCTCATTTTTCATCACCCACCTATGAGTGAGAATATGCGGTGTTTCATTTTCTGTTCTTGTGTCAGTTTGCTGAGGATGATGTTTTCCAGATTCATCCATGTCCCTACAAACGACACGAACTCATCATTTCTGATTGCTGCATAATATTCCATGGTGTATATCTGCCACATTTTTCCAATCCAGTCTATTATCAATGGGCATTTGGGTTGATTCCAGGTCTTTGCTATTGTAAACAGTGCTGCAATGAACATTCGTGTACATGTGTCCTTATAGTAGAACGATTTATAGTCTTTTGGATATATACCCAGTAATGGGATTGCTGGGTCAAATGGAATTTCTATTTCTAAGGCCTTGAGGAATCGCCACACTGTCTTCCACAATGGTTGAACTAATTTACATTCCCACCAACAGTGTAAAAGTGTTCCTTTTTCTCCACATCCTCTCCAGCATCTGTTGTCTCCAGATTTTTTGATGATCGCCATTCTAACTGGCGTGAGATGGTATCTCAATGTGGTTTTGATTTGCATCTCTCTGATGACCAGTGACGATGAGCATTTTTTCATATGATTGTTGGCCTCATATATGTCTTCTTTCGTAAAGTATCTGTTCATATCCTTTGCCCACTTTTGAATGGGCTTGTTTGTTTTTTTCCTGTAAATCTGCTTGAGTTGTTTGTAAATTCTGGATATCAGCCCTTTGTCAGATGGGTAGACTGCGAAAATTTTTTCCCATTCTGTTGGTTGCCGATCCACTCTAGTGACTGTTTCTTTTGCCGTGCAGAAGCTGTGGAGTTTGATTAGGTCCCATTTGTCTATTTTGGCTTTTGTTGCCAATGCTCTTGGTGTTTTGTTCATGAAGTCCTTGCCTACTCCTATGTCCTGGATAGTTTTGCCTAGATTTCCTTCTAGGGTTTTTATGGTGCCAGGTCTTATGTTTAAGTCTTTAATCCATCTGGAGTTAATTTTAGTGTAAGGTGTCAGGAAGGGGTCCAGTTTCTGCTTTCTGCACATGGCTAGCCAGTTTTCCCAACACCATTATAAGAAGAGACACCAGAGAGCTTGCGAACATCCTTTCTGCTCACACAAAGGCCATGTGAGCCCACAGCAAGAAGGCAACTCTCTGCAAGCC